GGGAGTCGCAAATCTGCAAAATGGTAGTCTATGTCCCTTTCTAACTATCGATAAAAAAAAGTTGTTATTACCAATACGTGCGGATTTGATAGTATCGCATCTATAATTGCATGTGCATGCATTCATAAATATTATAAAAATAGTATTGAAACAAATGATACTAACATCATGCAATTCATTAAGTGTCTTTTAAAAAATGGTTGCATTCAAAATACGTATAAATTAAGAACTGAAATATTAATGGGTGTTAATAATTTCAAAACTCAAATCGATAAAAATTATATAACTATAGACTGTCTTTTAAGCATAGGAAATGTTGCACAATATGTTTTTAAAGACAATCCCAGTTATGCAGAAATAAAAAATTGTGTCATATGTTCACGCATTATCATGCGTCAATCTTTATTGATTCCTATTAATATAGATATTATTATAAAGCACGGATATTGTAAACTATCCGCGGCTATATTAAAAGGTATGCCAAATAATAGATCCATCTGCTGTGAAAACCTATGAATAAAAACATAAAATACGAAAAACAAATATTGATAGAATGCGACGCAATAAAAAAATGATATAGAGGAAGAACATTTTCTTGCAGAATTTCAGCCAAAAATACAGATTGGCGATACTTTATTTCTTTTAGCAGGCATTGTGGCACGATACGGTGATATTGAGAACAGACATTATGTAGGATTTTCTTATCAAGGATCTCAATGGATAGAGTTCAATGATTCATTCTCATCCCTTTTTTATTAATTTTTTCATCCCTTCAAGCTAATCCCTGCTTTTTATACATGTGTCTTGTAGATTTTGAGTGGCACAACTCAACACAACTTGCAGAAATTCTATATTTGCATTGCAGTGTAATTTATTTTTTTAATTTTTGTAATATTTTTTTAATCTATCTTTGTGAATTTGTTTTATCGAAATAAAATGAGATATTGAAATTTTTCCAACGACACAATATGGCACAAGTTTTTTTATTGTTGGTGTTATCGATCTTGCATTTGCGCCACAAGTTAGCACAAACGTAGCACAATGCAGCACAATCAAGAAAAATTCAAAATTCGAAAAGTGCGGGGCTAGCAAAAAAAAATTTATTTTTTTTTTAATATACTTTGAGTTAGAAGGTTGTCGTTTGCAGCACAAACGGAGCTCAATGCAGCACAATCAAGAAAAATCCAAATTCGAAAAGTGCTGGGCTAGCAAAAAAATTTTTTTTTGTTTTTCTTGATATGCTTTGAGTTAGAGAGTTGCCGTTTGCGGCACAATACAGCACAAACGGAGCACAATGCAGCACAATCAAGAAAAATTCAAAATTCAAAAAGTGCTGGGCTAGCAAAAAAATTTTATTTTGTTTTTTCTTGAATGTGCTTTATGTTAGAGAGTTGCCGTTTGAGGCACAATACAGCACAAACGGAGCACAATGCAGCACAATCAAGAAAAATTCAAAATTCGAAAAGTGCTGGGCTAACTTCACACACATTAATGTATTGCAGAATCGTAAGCATGGGTTCTCAGTAAGAGAAATCGAAGAAATTGAATTTTGTCGATTACAGCGCCATCTATCTTGAATCGAGAAAAATGTTTCAGACAAATTGTATGTGTTTTTAGCCAAAGATTCCGAATATGCAATAAAAAATAGGGGTTCCCATTTAAGATTTCAAACTTGCCCCCCTTCACCGCCCAGGGGGAGAGGTGGGGGGGCTGATGTTAACGTCATTGTACGTCCTCCTCGAAATGACGAAATTTTGATTGTAAACATTTTTTCGTAGTGTGCTTATTTTTCGAGTTATTTGGCTGCCTAAGTTAAAATGGGTCACCCTGTATATATACATATATATTTAGATAGATCGATAGGGAAATCGATAGATAGTTGAATTAACAAATACCTAAATAGATAGATTGATAGATAGATATGTATATATATATATATATATATATATATATATATATATATATATATATATTTACATATCTATATATCAATCTATCTATTTAGGTATTTGTCTATTCAACTATCTATCGATCTCCCTATCGATCGATCTATCTATCTATCTATCTGTCTCTGTTTCTCTGTCTCTTTGTATTCCTCTCTGTCTCTCTGTCTTTTCTCTTTCAACATGCACACGTAAAAATAAAAATTTTGTATGATTATAATTGATTATAAAGTTTTAGTAGATAATTTGTAATAAATAAAAATTATTTTTATGAAAATATTTTATAATACTATTATAATCGGAACAGAGCAGTAGTTAGATAAGATATTGAAAGGAATAATTTTATTTGATTATATAGATATTGCATATATACAAGATGTTTTCGTAAAAGTGAATAATTTTTCATAGACATATATCCGTTTTTATACAAGTATCGCGATGCGTTATAAAAAAATTTTATAGGAACTTACAAGATTATTTTATCCGTTTTATTTATATTATATTTTACTACTTGAGATAGCCTGCTTTTATAGAAATTATAAATGTTTATTGTGCGCATATAGTAGACAAATATAAATAAATATATAAATTTTATATATACATATAAATACTCACAATATCTATATAATCAAAAATAAAATCTATCTCTTTCAATACAATCTTATCTAACTACTGCTCTATTCCGATAATGATAATATTATTATCTGCTTAATTTCGAAAATACTTTCATATAAATCATTTATTTATTACAAAGAATTATGTACTTTATAATCAATTATAATTATTACAGATCGGTCTCTCTTTTTATATATATATATACAGGGTGTCCTGCAACGTAATGTCCACAGTAAAATTTTATTTTCTTGGGATTATTCTAACAATAAGTCAAAAAGTACACGTATGCCCTAAAGTCGATTACAGCAAAAAGACGAAATTGCATATAATAAGATAAATATTATTTATTGAAGATAATAATTTTATTTATTGAACAATAATATTATAGAATTACTTTATAAACTGTGCGATAATATAGATCATAAAGGTGTTTTTCTCACACTTGTGCGGTAAAATAAGGCATACATTGAATCGTTGAGAAATTCATCTTCCGCACGCTAAACGCAATCGAAATTGGAACTTTTGTTACTGGTATTACAAAAAAATTACATGTGTTATCATAGTAAAAAAATGAATAATAAATAAATGTATAAATAATAAAAATTAATGTTTGTAATAATAATTAAAAATTATTTTTTTTATTATTTACACATTTATTTATTATTTATTTTTTACTATGACAACGTATGTAATTATTTTTTGTAATGCCAGCAACGAAAGTTCCAATTTCGATTGCGTTTAGCGTGCGGAAGATGAATTTCTCAACGATTCAATGTATGCCTTATTTTACCGCACAAGTGTGAGAAAAACACCTTTATGATCTATATTATCGCACAGTTTATAAAGTAATTCTATAATATTATTGTTCAATAAATAAAATTATTATCTTCAATAAATAATATTTATCTTATTATATGCAATTTCGTCTTTTCGCTGTAATCGACTTTAGGGCATACGTGTACTTTTTGACTTAGAATGATCCCAAGAATATAAAGTTTTACTGTGGACATTACGTTGCAGGACACCCTGTATATATATATATATATATATACACATATATATTAGAGTGTAAAAATATCTATCTATCTATCTATATATATATATATATATAATATATACACATACCTATTGATTTATTTAGCAATATGTTTATCTATCGAACTATCTATCATCTATTGATCAACCTATCTATCTATCTATCTATCGATCGATCTATCTATCTCTTCTCTCTTTTCTACATTGCATTCTTTTATATATGTACACGTATATAATAATTTTTTAAAAATATTGTACATTACAAAAGTAAAAATAATTAAATTTATAATCTAATAATATATAAAAATCTTTTATGAATATAATGATTACAAAGTTTTAGTAGATAATTTTTTGTAATAAATAAATTATTTATATGATTTATTCTTATCTAACTACTGCTCTGTTTTGATAATAATAGCATTATTATGTATTCAATCTCTAAAATACTTTTATATAAATCATTTATTACAAAGAATTATTTACTTTATAATCAATTATAATTATTATAGATAGGCCTGTTTATCCACATACACACACACACAATATATATATGTCTGTGTATGTATAAACAGGTCTATCTATAATAATTATAATTGATTATAAAGTAAATAATTCTTTGTAATGATTTATATAAAAGTATTTTAGAGATTGAATACATAATAATGCTATTATTATCAAAACAGAGCAGTATTTAGATAAGAATAAATCATTTATTTATTACAAAAAATTATCTACTAAAACTTTGTAATCATTATATTTGTCGCGTACGCAAAGTGGGTTTCCCCTTTTTTTTTCTTCGCGTTGACCGCGGACGCCGGTGTTGCTCAGAAAGAGCGCGAAGGACTGAGCAGCTAATTGAGAGGGCGACAAAGAGCGAGCCACCCTTGGATCCGTGAGATTGCCGATCGTGACACGCGTGGTCAGGTAGCACGGAACCGTCGTAGCGAGCACCGGTAGTTTTCAGCGAGACCAAGTATTTGCGATGACAAGAGGACTTTCGGGAGATAACACTCCTAATGCAGTATCACAAATTAGTTTATTTATCGAGGGCACGTTCAGTCTTATAAATCATTTCCGAAATTACTCAACCGATCTGTAGTCGTTCTGATTTTGGTGTCGCTAACTTTACAGTTTGACGAAGAAGAGAACGCTTAGAGTCGGGGCGTTCTTCGCAGAGGCGCGAGATCTCGACACGAACCTCTTGGAGGGGACGCACGTTTTTTCAAAGAATCACGATTGGCCGGTATTAATTTCCGACCGAGTGAAGGAACCAAAATCACGCGGTCAAAGGATGATGGCTCATACCGATCAATATTGATAACTGCTGTCCTTGCCTCGCTGGCGGGGAATAACAAGTTTGTTTTGAAAAAGCGGGGTCTTACCTCTAACGCTTATTTTTACTTACAATTAATTTAACACGAAATTACCATTCAAAATTATTTGTCTGTTTCTCAACATACCGCCCGCCTTGAAATAATAGTTTCGAAAGAAAGATGCGAGTGACTCATGAGGCAGGAAAGGTTTCGAGTAGAATTGAGCGAGGCGTTCGGCACGTCGAGGCGAGACTTGACATCGCTTGTCGGCGCTTTCCGACTGCTCAATATCGATCGGCAGAAGGCACAGTCTACCGATCGGACGCTTGTATTCGGACGACGCCGTTTTTACCGTAACAACGCGAACCAATTCGTCGAGACCCGGGTGACACAAAACAACGCGGCCGAGCTCCCATTTGCACGGTGGAAGCAGTGGATTGCGAAGCAAAACCAACTGTCCCACCCGAATATTTGGCTTCTCAATATGTCGCCATTTTCCCCGCTGTTGCAGCATGTTAATATAATCGCTCTGCCACAACTTCCAAAAACGCTCGGTGAGCTGCCGAACCAACTGCCATCGAGATAGGCGATTTTCTTTTACTTGTAACAGGGAAGGCTCCGGACTCGAGTTAAAAGCAGCACCAATGAGGAAATGCCCGGGGGTCAGCGGATCGTATGTATCTATCGAGTCGGAGAGCGGTGCTATGGGCCTAGATTTGAGGCATGCTTCGACGTTAGAAAGAAGCGTGGAGAACTCCTCGAACGTCAGCGTGTGCGCTCCGACCACCCGGCGAATGTGATGCTTCACGCTTCGTACACCGGCCTCCCATAGGACGCCAAAATGAGGGGCTGAGGGAGGCAGAAAATGCCACTCAACATTGTCCAAAGCTGTCCTGTTCAAAAACACGGGATCGCGAAGAGCCGCTCTAAACGCGACCGTGAGTTCGCGATCCGCTCCGACGAAGGTGGTCCCGTTATCGGCGTACACCGCCGTCGGAAGACCCCGTCGAGCCACAAATCGCGAATAGGCCCCTAAAAATGCCGGAGTGGCGTACCCCTCGACCAACTCCAAATGTACTGCGCGCGTTGCCATACACACGAATATGGCGATGTAGGCCTTTCGGGAGGCCACTCCGCGCCCAGACATCGCTCGAACTAGTATCGGGCCGGCATAATCCATTCCGCATGAATGAATGCGCGCGCGGGAGGAGAGACTCTGAATTGCGGGAGGTTCCCCATAAGCTGTGTCGGGACGGCAGCTCGCTCGCGAGTGCACGCGACACACCGATGGATGACCGATCTGACCGCACCGCGAGCTCGGATCACCCAGTACCTTCGCCGCAGCGTAGCCAGAGTAAGCTGGATGCCGACATGGAGATATCGCCTGTGAATATCCTGTATGAGGAGCTGGACGAGAGGATGGGACGCGAGAACGATCGGATGTTTGACGTGAGCCGGGATGGGCGCCCGCGACAACCGCCCACCTACACGAATTATTTGATCTTCGTCCAAATACGGCGCGAGAGGCAACAGTACGCTTTTCGACGAGAGCGCGTCTCCCCTTCGAAGCGCGGTCAGCTCGCGCGCGAATAGCTCCGCTTGAATGGTTTTTACCCAAAAGTTCGTCGCGCGTTGAATTTCGTGAACCGTCAAGGATGAGGGACTCTCGACGCGCCCAGCCGGCAAAGTAATACGTCCGCGAGTACGCGAGATAAATCGCATAACGTAGGCGGTAATGCGCATTAGCTTCGGCCACGACGAGTGGCGCGCGGCTAGGTCCCACAAGACAGGGTCTCTCGGCATCGCGACGAGAACCTGCGTCTTTACATTTTGTTCCATTGAGGTCTCAGGGTGAGGGTCGACAGTCACCGGCCAGTCGGAGATCGGAAGCCTAAGCCACAATGGACCATGCCACCACAACGGATGGGATGCGAGCTGATGCCCGGGAATTCCGCGAGACGCACAGTCGGCGGGGTTGTCGATGGTGAGCACGTGTCGCCACGAAGCGGAGGGAAGTCGGGTCTGGGTTTCCGCGACGCGATTTGCCACGAACGTTCGCCACCTTGACGGATGTTGCGTAACCCACGCAAGGACGACCGTGGAGTCCGTCCAGCAGTAACACGGAACCTCGGAAAGGTGGAGGGACGTGATCACGAACTCCATTAATCTGGAGAGCAGCACCGCTGCTGCGAGCTCCAACCGCGGAATGCTCAGTGACTTAACGGGCGCGACCCTAGACTTTCCGACGAGGAGCATCGAGGAGACCTCTCCGGAGATCGAAAGAAGCCTCAGATAAACCATACGCCTGAGAGAACGCGTCCGCGAACCCGTGCAGCTCGCAGGCCGTCGTATCCGATCCGCGTCGAACCCATCGATCGAGCTGAAGGCCATCAAGGGACAGGAGCGACGCCCGAATAACTTCCCACTCATCAGCGAGATCGGTGGGAAATTGGTCATCCCAGTCGAGCTGTGATTGCCACAGTCGCTGAAGAAAGATTTTTACCGTTATTGTGACCGGAGCACTCCACCCCAACGGGTCGAATATTCGCGCGATATTCGAGAGAATCGATCTCTTCGTTATCGAGACAGAGGGAGGGCAGGAAATGCGGAACTGAAACACGTCCTGAGCGGGGTGCCAGCATATCCCGAGGACTTTAACCTTTTCGCCTGGTTGAAGGTCCTTGCTGCAGGCTAAACCGTGATCGTTGTCATCAATGTCGCTCAGAAGAGCCGACGAGTTACTGGACCACTTGCGCAAATTGAATTGGCCGCAGCGCAGCAGTGAGCATACTTGATCGCGCGCCTGCCGAAGCAGAGAGATATCTTCGGCGCCGAACAAGACGTCGTCAACATAAATGTTATCCGTCAGGACGAACACGGCTAACGGATAGGAATGCTCTTCATCGCGGACCAGTTGGCGCAGCACTCGTAACGCCAAAAACGGCGCCGACGCCATACCGTACGTCACGGTCAAGAGCTTATAATCTTGCATGCGCTCCGTCTCGGTATCCACCCATAATATGCGTTGATAATCTGTGTCACGCGGATCAACGACAATCTGCCTATACATTTTCTCGACATCGGCCGAGTATACGTAGCGAAACTGTCGCCATCGCATCACGACTGCCGCCAAGTCCGTTTGTAGTTTCGGTCCTGGAAGCAAATTATCATTAAGCGATTTCCCGCTTGACGTTAGACTCGACGCATTGAATACCACGCGCAAGTGTGTGGTCGCACTACCGTCGCGAAAGACGGGATGGTGAGGAATATACACGCACTGAAAGAATTCTGAGAGAGGTGAGGCTTTTCGCATGTGTCCCAGAGCTTCGTATTCCCGCATGAAATTGAAATATTGTTGTTTTAGCTCGGCGTTAATTTCAAAGCGTCGAAGTAAGCTTTTTAGACATCGCTCAGCGGTATCGCGAGAACGACCGATATTAATGGGAGGATCACGTTTAAATGGAAGGCGCACAATGTATCGGCCGTCGGAACAACGCGAATGAGTGGTCATGAAGAAATCCTTGCATCGTTGTTTCTCCGGGCCGAGTACAGTCTGTCGCGGAACTTCCTCGATCTCCCAAAATCTTCTCAGTTCGCGATCGAGCGCAAGCGACGTTGAGGCCGAACAATGTTGAACAGTGATTGTTCGGCGGGATTGAATTGACACACTCGTAGGGCCGGATACTGCCCATCCAAAAATGGTATTTAATGCATAGGGCTGCCCGCGAGGTCCCTTTTGCATTTCGCCAAGGAATATCTCGCCATAGATATCGGCGCCGATGAGGAGCTCAATGGGATCAGAACCATTGAAGTGAGGATCTGCTAGAGCGAGATCCGCGAGATGATTCCAGTTGCATCTGGCTCGATCGAGCCCCGAATTGTAATCAGCGAGTGAAGGCAAAATCGACGCAGTGATTGTGAGACTCGGCTCAGATTTATTTTGCGGCGAGATCGTAATTTGAGTTGCAAACTTGCAGTTATCCGCTTTAAGACCGCAGATGGCAGAGAGTGAAAACTGATCTTGGAAACGACGCAGTCTTAAGGTTTGCGCAAGCCGAGCGGACATGAAAGTTATCTCCGATCCCGGATCGAGCTACGCTCGCACGTTCGCGTCGCGACCCGCCGGTGAACGAACCGTGACTCGCGCCGTCGCAAGGAGTACCGGAGTTCGATGCGATAATTCTTGCGAAGCAAACAACGCCACCGCGCCGCGATTACCTCTCGCTTCGACCGGCGGAGTCGATTCAGCAGTGACTACCGAGGCGGTAGCGCATGAGACTGAATCAACATGGAGCATCGAATGATGCCTTTTCTGGCATCGGCGACAAGTGTATTGGCTTGGGCATGAATACAAGGCGTGTTTCGTACTGAGACAATTAATGCACCTTTGGTGTTGTTTGATAAACTCCATGCGTTGACTCGGACCTTTCTTAATAAATTGCGGACACTTACTCAAGTAATGACTCGCTTTACAAATCGGACACGAGGCTGGAGACGTGGTAACGGCGTTCACGGAAGCGGATTTTGACGAACGCGTAGACTTAGCCGCATTATGAGACGTGAGTTCTTCCAAGGCTCGCACGCGCGCGGAGATAAATCTATCTAAGTCCTCGAATGTTGGAATCGCGGCATCATCGCCTCCTTTCAATCGCCACGCCTTGTGCGTGGCGTGATCAAGCCGCTGAGTGACGAGATGAACTAGGACATCACTCAAAATTTCGTCTGACGAACGGTGGAGATTTCTGAGCGACGCAATAGCTCGATTGGCTTTATCCTGGAGTTCGCTAAGCTCGACGGCCGATTCGCGCGTGACGGCCGGCAGGTTGCATAGCGCGGAGACATGCACGCCGACTAGTCGCCGTTTGTTATCGTAGCGCGACTAGCGAGACTAGCAATCGCCAAGCGACTTCAAAATTGTCGGCGGTGACTGGGACAGTTCGTATCGATTCCAGAGCACGCCCGGAGAGACTAGACGCTAAGTAATGCATGCGGGAAAATGCAGTTAACTCTGTATTTTTAATTATGAGCGACGTGAATCGATCGCGAAAATCTCCCAGTCCTCATGGGTTCCCGAGAACGGGGGTATATTGATAGATATAGTAACGCGGAGGGATTTCCGAACGCCGGTGGACTTGCCAATGGAGTTGAGTTGAGAGGAGGCTCCAATTCTTCGAGGCATTCCATCATGTAGTCCGCCGTCCTCTGGAAGATCTCCTCGTGTTCCTCGAACTCCGCATTGTCGAAGTAGCTAACGTCCTTCCGTTTGGCCCCTGGAAAACATGGACCAGCGCAGCGTGAGAGGCCGTGCACAGCGCCCAAGCTTCTTTCAGTCCCGTCAGTCGCGATCGAATTAGCGCTGGCGTATAATTGTTCTTTCCAAGTTTTTAAAATTCGGAAGAGCTCGCGCCACCGAGTGCAGTTGTGACTGCTGCTTGGCAAGCAACTGCTCACTCATGATGTTGTCAGATCTCCGTCACAGTGGTCACTTTCAAGGTCGTTGAGCTTACACAATTCCTTCGATCCGGCTCGAAGGACCAACAATGTCGTGTACGCGAAGTGGGTTTCCCCTTTTTTTTCTTCGCGTTGACCGCGGACGCCGGTGTCGCTCAGAAAAAGCGCGAAGGACTGAGCAGCTGATTAAGAGGGCGACAAAGAGCGAGCCACCCTTGGATCCGTGAGATTGCCGATCGTGACACGCGTGGTCAGGCAGCACGGAACCGTCGTAGCAAGCACCGGTAGTTTTCAGCGAGACCAAGTATTTGCGATGACAAGAGGACTTTCGGGAGATAACACTCCTAATGCAGTATCACAAATTAGTTTATTTATCGAGGGCACGTTCAGTCTTATAAATCATTTCCGAAATTACTCAACCGATCTGTAGTCGTTCTGATTTTCGGTGTCGCTAACTTTACAGTTTGACGAAGAAGAGAACGCTTAGAGTCGGGGCGTTCTTCGCAGAGGCGCGAGATCTCGACACGAACCTCTTGGAGGGGACGCACGTTTTTCGAAGAATCACGATTGGCCGGTATTGATTTCCGACCGAGTGAAAGAACCAAAATCACGCGGTCAAAGGCTGATGGCTCATACCGATCAATATTGATAACTGCTGTCCTTGCCTCGCTGGCGGGGAATAACAAGTTTGTTTTGAAAAAGCGGGGTCTTACCTCTAACGCTTATTTTTACTTACAATTAATTTAACACGAAATTACCATTCAAAATTATTTGTCTGTTTCTCAACAATATTCATAAAAGATTTTTATATATTATTAGATTATAAATTTAATTATTTTTACTTTTGTAATGTACAATATTTTTAAAAAATTATTATATACGTGTACATATATAAAAGAATGCAATGTAAAAAAGAGAGAAGAGACAGATAGATCGATAGATAGATAGATAGATAGATAGATTGATCGATAGATGATAGATAGTTCGATAGATAGACAGATTGCTAAATATATCAATAGGTATGTGTATATATTATATATATATATATATATATATATATATATATATATACAGAGTGTCCCAAAAAGGATCGGAACACTGAAAAATCTCGAAAAGTATACGTTTTACAGAAAAAAGATTCAGACAAAAGTTATAAAAAATCAATTTATTGATCTTATAAGTTTGACCTTGGACGGCGGTACCAAGATTAGAATAAGGTCACCTTGAATTTCTTAGATGGAATCCTATAATTTTTATTACATATTCTTGTAGCTTATCTGGAGAGCTTTCCAAAACACTAATAAAAATTTTTTATGGAGTACCCTTTGATTTATAAAGGCTAACAATTTTTTGACATAAAATGTAAAATATCTTTGTAAAATATTCCATATTCGGTAATCATATCTTTTTTGCACGGAATAATGAGACCAATAAATTGGTGTAAAAAAACACAGTTGCTTATAAAAAAAGTATGCTGCTGCATATTGAATATTACATATTCAATTATCTGTTTTCTTTAATAAATTGATTTCTTATTATACTGTGCAAAAAAGTACGTATGATTATCAAAAATGGAATATTTTATAAAGATATAGTTTATGTCAAAAAATTGTTAGCTTCTAACCTTTATAACTCAAAGAGCACTTTATGAAAAATTATTTTATTATAGTGTTTGGAAAGCCCTCGAGATAAGCTACAAGAATATGTAATAAAAAATATAGGATTACATCTAAGAAATTTAAGGTAACCTTATTCTGACCTTGGTAACACTGTCCAAGGTCAAACTGATCAGATCAATAAATAGATTTTTTATAACTTTTGTCTAAAACTTTTTTCTGTAAAACGTATACTTTTCGGGATTTTTCAGTGTTCCGATCTTTTTGGGATACTCTGTATATATATATATGTGTGTGTGTGTGTGTGTGTGTGTGTGTGTGTGTGCGCGCGTGTGTGTATATATATTTATATATATATATAGATTATATTCTTATTCAATATTTATGGAGTTCAATTGTTATAAATTTTTTTTACATTATATACATATTTTCTAAAGTAACAATTTCTGAAATATAAAGCAGTCTCTTGCTTATTTTAAATAGTTGCTAGTAGTAGAAATATTATAGTAATAATAAGTAGTAGTTACAATAGTACAATAGTAATACTAATAGTTATAAAGTTGCAGTAGTGACAAAAAAAAGAAAAATATCTTCTCCCAGAACGATTTGCATGTGCGTTCTGGTTATTAAAAAAGATATTTATATCAGAGACGATTTATTCGTCTGTTAGTTGCTTTAAAAATATCTTCTCCTAGAACGAATTGCATGTGCGTTCTGGTTATTAAAAAAAGATATTTTATATCAGAGACGATTTATTCGTCTGTTAGTTGCTTTAAAAATATCTTCTCCCAGAACGAATTGCATGTGCGTTCTGGTTATTAAAAAAAGATATTTTATATCAGAGACGATTTATTCGTCTGTTAGTTGCTTCTAAAATATCTTTTCCCAGAACGATTTGCATGTGCGTTCTGGAAGATATTTTATGCCAGACTTATTTATTCGTAAACTGCTTCTTTACATCAGATACGGTTTATGTATCCTCTGCTTATTGTTAGTATAAAAATAAAACATTTATATTAAAACTTTATTGTATAATATAATATAGTTTGAATAAGATATAGATTTATAAACAAGAGACTGCATTTATTTTTCAAAAATTTTTGATAATTATATAATAATTGATACATTTATTTTTTAACAATATTTTAACATTATTTTTTTTTGCAGGCGACGGATGCTGAAGAAAGAGAGACAAGAGGAAAATGACTCCAGGTATAGCACATTTAAGGATACTAACAATGAATCCATTGATAATCAGAAATCGGCGGAATTGCTATCTGATACAATAAATTTAAAAGTTAGTATCCAATCGTTAGTACCCGCGATGCAATGCCTGGAGTCAAATTCAAATACAGGTACGTGTAGTAAAAATGTCGAACTTTGCGAAGATAACAATCATTTTGTTATCGAGAATAGCCCTCTGGATATAAATAATATCCAGGAAAGCATGCTTCAAGGGCGTCGCATTGTCAATTTTTCTCATATGTGGAATGAACTCCAGAGATTATTCAAGAATCATATGAAAGAAATAGAGTGCCAATTTAAAGATTGGAAAGTCATAAAAACTAAAACCGAAGGCCAAGAGGAAAATGACTCTAGGAATAGCACATATAAGAATACTAGCAATGAATCCATCGATTTTCAAAAATCGGTGGAATTGATTTCGATACAATAGATTCTCAAGTTAGTACTCAAAAAGTGCAATGCCTGGAGTCAATTTCTGAAACAGATATTTGTAATAAGATATCGAACTTTGCGAAGATGATTATTTTGTTATCGAGAATGGCCCACTGGATATAAATCGTATCCAGGAAAGCTTGCCTAAAGGCCGTCGCATTGTCGACTTTTCTCATGTATGGAAAGAACTCCAGAGAGTATTCAATAATAAATAAAAGAATAGAGTGCCAATTTAAAGATTGGAAACTCATAAAAACTAAAACCGAAAAGTTTAAGACGCATTTTACTTTCAAATGCCAAATGTGCAATACTGAAGCCGAATTCTGGTCAGAACCCAAAGATCCGAAAATATTAAGCATTGATATGGCTGCTGCAATAGGAACTATTACAGTGGGAATTGGCTATGCCAATTGGAAGAGCTGTGTGCAGCTATGAATATTCAATGTATGTCCGATAAAAGTTATATTCAAAATCGAGATATGTTAGTAGACGAGTTTGAGAAAACAGCCATGAAAATATGAAAATGGCTGGCCAAACTGAAAAGCAACTGGCTCTCGAAAGGACGATGTTATAAACGGTATTCCGTACATAACTGTAATAGCTGATGGTAGTTGGAGTAAAAGATTGTACGGCCACGCCTACAATTTTCTTTCCGGTGTTGGTACTTTAATTGGTTACCACACGAAAAAAGTTCTTTTTATCGGTATCCGCAATAAATATTGTACGATATGCGATGTAGCGGAACGAAACGAATTGAACCAAAAAACCATAAATGCTATAGAAATTTCGATCGTAACGCAAGCTCCACAAGTATGGAGAGCGACGCCATTGCAGAAGGCTTTAAAAGTAGCCTGGAAATGCATGGATTAATTTTTAGAACAGTTATTGCCGATGGCGATAGCAGCGTCTATCAGGCCATCATTGATAGCAGACCATATCGGGAACAAATGGTGACCGTGAAAAAAATAGAATGCACCAATCATTTGCTCGCAATCTATGCAAAAAGCTGCAGGCGGTAGCAGGGAAAAATCAGCGACTAAATGCATAGAAAGCGCGGTTTTGTCAGCTACAAAATGTTGTAAAGAACAACATTATGAACATACGAACAAAAGTGATAGAAGCAATTGATTTACGAAATAAACAAGAGCAACCTCACCATGATAAAGCTAGAGAATTACAAAAAGATATATTAACATTCCTATTTTTTTTTTTTTTTTTTTGTGACGCTGGGAAACCGTCATGTACAACACACCCCCGGGTAGGGTGTGGTTATGTGGGACTCCTTGTTCCCTTGGTCGAGCCACGAATGGTTAGACAGGGGCCCAAGACCTACTCACTAAACTCAGCGGGGTGTCCCATCTCGGGCGTTGGATAGGGGACG